TAAAGACATGAATTGGAGAAGGGTACTTGTAGGGAGAGGGACGGGTATTGACAGGTGGGAGAGACGTAGGAGAGGGTGGAGGTATGAGAGCAATCAGAATGCATTATCTTCATGCATGAAATTGTCAAAGAGTACATTTAACAACAATTATAAAATTGGAAAGAAAGAAATAGGAACAAAAGAATACTTGTAATCTCTGTAAAGAAAGAAAAATATAAAAGTAGGTAAAAATGAGGTAAAATATAGCAGATTTTACTTCTCCAGGATTTCCTAAATTTTATTTTATCGGGGAGATTGATAGAAAGTTTGTAACAGTATCTGGGGTGATGTATTGTGTAAAAAATAGTAAAGTAATTATATAGTTGAAATTTAAGGGGTAAAGAAACTTTCATGAAAGAAAACTTTCTGCACATCATTTAAGTATTAAAACATCAGTTCCATGTGTGAGTATTATGTGTGTATATGTATAATATACACATATGTGTATAGAGAAATTTAATACAATTATGTTCCTACCCATTTCTGACCTAGTATCCTTTGACTATCCAAACCTTTAAGATGTGTATAGAGAAATTTAATACAATTATACAAGGATATATAATCAAGAATATTATAAAATAAATTGAAACGATATCCTTCAAATAACGCCAAGAAAGTCAAAGAAAAAGAACAAAGAATGAGAAAACAAGAAACAAAACAAAAAGTAGTATAGTAACAGATTTAAATTTATAGTACATGTACTATTTCAATGAAAAAGGGAGGATGGGAGATGTCTGGAGAAAGTGTGACCTGGGCTATGACATCATCTGATACCTTACATTCAAACATGCATAGGGTACATTCTCGAGAAAGTTTCAGACAGGAAGATTGTCATGGTTTGCTGAGATTACCAGGCATGCAGTCTGTATGCTGATCTCTACCTTGAAAGGGAAGCTTCAAGTGGACACTCATTAGATTTCTGCTACTCTTTAGACCTCTCGTGTGTTTATCAGGCCCCAAAAGTACATAATAATCTTGATCATAGAGTGCTAAGAAGAAATGAAAAAGAAAGCAAGCATGCGAGCGATCTGTTTCTGTTTTTTTTTTTTTTTTTTTTTTTTTTTTTTTTTTTATGCTATTGCTCCCTCTCCTGGAGCATTATTTTAGTACCTCTGAATTTCAGAAGAGAATGTTCTCGCATTATGATTTATTTTGTGCTTTGTGGTCATGAGGAAACTGTTTAAACTGGTGAATCAGTGGCCCCCTAATAACATGGAGATAATAACTTTCACCCAAAATTCTTTGTATAGTAGAAATAATCTATTATAAATTACCTATATATCTTAAGTACTCCATAAAATATTAAATACCTACAGACAACTAGTATGAAAGAATGACTTTCTGAGCACAATTTCAAGATTGGAACTTCTGTGCAGTTGAGATTTGAATTAAAATAATTTCCAGTATTTGGCTTTATTTAAAGTACACATACTTCTTTGAGATAGTTTAAATGTAATAATATCCCACCTGTTTACTTAAATACATTCATCTTTTTAAAGATACTCCAACATTTGCAAAATTTTATGAACAAATACACAGGTTCTTTTCATACCCAAAATGAATGTTAAAAAAAAAACTATCAAAAATTTCACAAGTAGCATTTAAACTAAGAAAAGTCCAGACATGATCCTGTTCCATCAGGATGGCTCCTTCCAGAAGGCTTGCTAAATGCAGTGTGTATATTCTGCCATCTAGTGGTCGTGTGGAATTCCTTGCCTAGAAGATTGTCTTTAAGTGGTAGGGAATCCTTAACTTTTGTTTAAAGAAAGCTGAGCACATGTAAGGAATTGGTGCTATGATCCACAAATCAACATACGACATTTGCTTTTCTGGGTCTGTGTTACTTCACTTAGTGTAACAGTTTCTAGTTCTGGGGCTGGAGAGATGGCTCAGCGATTAAGAGCACCGGCTGTCTTGTAGAAGACCCGGGTTCGAATCCCAGAACCCACACGGCAGCTAACAACTGTCCATAAGTCCATTTCTGGGGGATCCGATGCCATCTTCTGTCGTCCGTTGGCACTGTATGACACGGGTTCACCTACACACATGCAGACAGAACACTCAGACCCATAAAAAAATAAATACATTAAAAAAAAAAAGTTCTCTAACTCCATCCATTCACCAGCAAATTTCGTCTTTCCTTACAGCTGAGTAGAACTCCATTGGGTAAATGTGCCTCCATCGTGTAGCCCTCATTATCCATTCTTCAGTGGAGAGACATGTAGGCTCTTTCCACATCTTTTCTTTTCTTTTCTTTTCTTTTCTTTTCTTTTCTTTTCTTTTCTTTTCTTT